GGTGGTCCTTGATGGGGATTGGATGGTTCATGATGGGGTTTAGGTGGTCCTTGATGGGGATTGGATGGTTCATGATGGGGTTTAGGTGGTCCTTGATGGGGATTGGATGGTTCATGATGGGGTTTAGGTTATCCTTGATGGGGATTGGATGGTTCATGATGGGGTTTAGGTTATCCTTGATGGGGATTGGATGGTTCATGATGGGGTTTAGGTGGTCCTTGATGGGGATTGGATGGTTCATGATGGGGTTTAGGTGGTCCTTGATGGGGATTGGATGGTTCATGATGGGGTTTAGGTGGTCCTTGATGGGGATTGGATGGTTCATGATGGGGTTTAGGTGGTCCTTGATGGGGATTGGATGGTTCATGATGGGGTTTAGGTGGTCCTTGAGGGGATTGGATGGTTCATGATGGGGTTTAGGTGGTCCTTGAGGGATTGGATGGTTCATGAGGGGTTTAGGTGGTCCTTGATGGGGATTGGATGGTTCATGATGGGTTTAGGTGGTCTTTGAGGGGCTTGGGTGGTTCATGATGGGGTTTAGGTGGTCCTTGAGGGATTGGATGGTTCATGATGGGTTTAGGTGGTCCTTGATGGGGATTGGATGATTCATGGTGAGGTTGGGTGCCCTTGAGAGGTTTGAGTGGTCCATAATGGGACTTGGGTGGTCCTTGAGGGGATTGGATGGTTCATGATGGGGTTTAGGTGGTCCTTGAGGGGCTTGGATGGTTCATGATGGGGTTTAGGTGGTCCTTGATGGGGATTGGATGAACCATGGTGAGGACTGGGTTGCCCTTGAGAGGTTTGAGTGGTCCATGATGGGAATTGGGTGGTCCTTGAGGGGCTTGGATGGTTCATGATGGGGCTTAGGTGGTCCTTGATGGGGATTGGATGGTTCATGATGGGGTTTAGGTGGTCCTTGAGTGGTCTATGATGGGGATTAGGTGGTTCATGATGGGACTTAAGTGGTCCTTGAGTGGTCTATGATGGGGATTGGGTGGTCCATGATGGGACTTAGGTGGTCCTTGAGAAGCTTGGGTGGTCCATGATGGGGTTTGGGTGGTCCATGATGGGACTTAGGTGGTCCTTGAGAAGCTTGGGTGGTCCATGATGGGGATTGGGTGGTCCATGATGGGACTTAGGTGGTCCTTGAGAAGCTTGGGTGGTCCATGATGGGGCTTGGGTGGTCCATGATGGCAATTGGGTGTCACTGATGGCTTGGGTGGTCCATGTGAGCACTTGATGGTGGGTTTTGGTTGCCCAATTGACGCTCCAGCCATCACCTGGAGGACTCCACCACCCCATTGCCTTGGAGTTACCCCCATGGGCACCTCCGGGGGGTGCCATCAAGTGGGGTTTGAGGCACCCCATGGCCACGACCCTCTCCAAGCCCCATGTCCTCTGCAGCTGGTGGTGAAGGGGGCGACGGAGGCTGATAACCGGGTGCATGAACCGGGGACCCCCATGAGGCTCCGCATCGAGGGCGACCACAACGCTTACGTGGGCCTGGTGGCCGTGGACAAGGGCGTCTTCGTCCTCAGCAAGAAGAACAAACTCACCCAGTCCAAGGTGGGTGCCCAGGTCCCCATCCCCATTGGGTGTCCCTCACCCCACGATGGGCTCGGTGGTCAGGGTTGTCCCATGGTGGCCCCACAGGTTTGGGACACGGTGGAGAAGAGCGACATCGGCTGCACCCCGGGCAGTGGCAGGGACAATGTGGGGGTGTTCGCTGATGCTGGGCTCAGCTTGGTCACCAATGTGAAGATCACGACGCCACAGAGAGGGGGTACGGATGGGACAACCTTGGGGGTGACACCTTGGGTGCGGGGAGGTGGCACCCAAAGGATGGGTGCTGAGAGGCAACAGATTTGGGGTGTGACAATGGAGGTCCAGGGGTGGGGATGGGGACATGACCTGTGTTGGGGATGGGGTCTGACCTGTGTTGGGGATGGGGTCTGACCTGTGTTGGGGATGGGGTCCTCACCTGTGTTGGGGATGGGGTCTGACCTGTGTTGGGGATGGGGTCTGACCCGTGTTGGGGATGGGTCCTGACCTGTGTTGGGGATGGGGTCTGACCTGTGTTGGGGATGGGTCCTGACCTGTGTTGGGGATGGGGTCTGACCTGTGTTGGGGATGGGGTCCTGACCTGTGTTGGGGATGGGGTCTGACCTGTGTTGGGGATGGGGTCTGACCTGTGTTGGGGATGGGTCCTTGGGGGTTGTTACCTGTGTTGGGGATGGGGTCTCACCTGTGTTGGGGATGGGGTCTGACCTGTGTGGGGATGGGGTCGCTGTGTTGGGTGGTCTTACCTGTGTTGGGGATGGGGTCTGACCTGTGTTGGGGATGGGGTCCTGACCTGTGTTGGGGATGGGGTCTGACCTGTGTTGGGGATGGGGTCTGACCTGTGTTGGGGATGGGGTCTGACCTGTGTTGGGGATGGGGTCCTCACCTGTGTTGGGGATGGGTCCTGACCTGTGTTGGGGATGGGGTCTGACCTGTGTTGGGGATGGGGTCTGACCTGTGTTGGGGATGGGGTCTGAGCTGTGTTGGGGATGGGGTCCTCACCTGTGTTGGGGATGGGGTCTGACCTGTGTTGGGGATGGGGTCTGAGCTGTGTTGGGGATGGGGTCCTGGCCTGTGTTGGGGATGGGGTCTGACCTGCGTTGGGGATGGGGTCTGACCTGTGTTGGGGATGGGGTCTGAGCTGTGTTGGGGATGGGGTCCTGACCTGTGTTGGGGATGGGGTCTGACCTGTGTTGGGGATGGGGTCTGACCTGTGTTGGGGATGGGGTCTGACCTGTGTTGGGGATGGGGTCTGACCTGTGTTGGGGATGGGGACCTCACCTGTGTTGGGGATGGGGTCCTGACCTGTGTTGGGGATGGGGTCTGACCTGTGTTGGGGATGGGGTCTCACCTGTGTTGGGGATGGGGTCCTCACCCGTGTCCCCTCTGTCCCCAGAGGTGAAGTGTCCCCAACCTGCACAACGCAAGCGCCGCTCCGTGCAGCTCATTGAGTACAAGGGCACCAAGGGTAGGTGGCTCCAAGGGGCACCAGGGCCCATGTCCCAGTCAATACCAGTGTCCCTTGTCCATCCCATGGTACCTATCCCAGTACCAGTGTCCCATGTCCATCCCATGGTACCTATCCCAGTACCAGTGTCCCATGTCCATCCCATGGTACCTATCCCAGTACCAGTGTCCCATGTCCTTGAAGGACATCATAATACCCCTGGAAATACCGCAACATCCCATATCCCAGTGAACACCAGTGTCCCATATCCCAAAGGACACCATCACACCCCATGGCCCTGGTGACCCCACAGCATCCCCCATCCCAAAGGACACCAATGTGTCCCATGTCCCTGATCCCAAAGGACACCACCCATGCCCTGTGACCCCACAGCATCCCCCATCCCAAGGACACGCCCATGTCCCTGCTGACCCCACAGCATCCCCCATCCCAAAGGACACCATCACACCCCATGGCCCTGGTGACTCCACAGCATCCCCCATCCCAAAGGACACCAATGTGTCCCATGTCCCTGCTGACCCCACAGCATCCCCCATCCCAAAGGACACCATCACACCCCATGTCCCTGGTGACCCCACAGCATCCCCCATCCCAAAGGACCCCATCGCGCCCCATGTCCCTGCTGACCCCACAGCATCCCCCATCCCCAAGGACCCCATCGCTCCCCATGGCCCCGGTGATGGGCTCTGGGGCCGGGTACCAGTGGGGTCCCTTGGTGCCGGCAGCGGCCCAGTACAAGGACCAGGCCCTGCGGAAGTGCTGTGAGGACGGGATGAAGGAGAACCCCATGGGGCACAGCTGCGAGCATCGCTCCAGCTACATCCAGGACGGGGCCCCCTGTGTCCAGGCCTTCCTCGACTGCTGCACCCACATCAGGACCCTCCGCAGCCAGAAGCAGCGCCTGCTGCACCTCCAGCTGGCCCGAAGCAAGTGATGGGACATGGAGGGGGTCCGTGGGGGTGGTTGGGGGAAGCTCAAGTGGTGCTTGCAGGGTGCTTGGGTGAACCTCAAGTGATGCCTGTGCCTCCATTGGGTGATGCTCAAGTGATGCCTGTGCCACCCTTGGGTGATGCTCAAGTGATGCTCAAGTGATGCCTGTGCCACCATTGGGGGATGCTTGGGTGAACCTCAGGTGGTGCCTGTGCCACCCTTGGGTGATGCTCAAGTGACGCTCAAGTGATGCTTGTGCCACCCTTGGGTGATGCTTGGGTGATGCTCAAGTGATGCTTGTGCCACCCTTGGGCGATGCTCAAGTGATGCTTGGGTGAACCTCAGGTGATGCTTGGGTGATGCTTGTGCCACCCTTGTGTGATGCTTGGGTGAACCTCAGGTGATGCTTGTGCCACCCTTGGGTGATGCTCAAGTGATGCTTGTGCCCCCATTGGGTGATGCTTGGGTGACCCTCAAGTGATGCTTGTGCCCCCATTGGGTGATGCTTGGGTGAACCTCAAGTGATGCTTGGGTGATGCTCAAGTGATGGTTGGGTGAACCTCAAGTGATGCTTGGGTGATGCTTGGGTGACCCTCAAGTGATGCCTGTGCCCCCATTGGGTGATGCTTGGATGAACCTCAGGTGATGCTTGGGTGACCCTCAAGTGATGCCTGTGCCCCCATTGGGTGACGCTTGGCCGATGCCCACCCACCGCTTGGCCGTCCCTTGCCTGGTGCTTGCCTGATGCTGGGGTGGCCGTGGCTTTGCCCAGGGCGTGGGGTCCTGAGGGTACGGTCCAGAGGCCCCGTGTCCCCCCCAGGCGAGGTGGACGATGGCTTCCTGGCCGATGAGGACATCACCTCCCGCAGCCTCTTCCCCGAGAGCTGGCTGTGGCAGGAGGAGCCGCTGACGGAGAAGCCCAATGAGCTGGGGTGAGTCCCAGCCCCATGGTCCATGTGGGGCCATAACACCAGGACCCCACCACAGAGGCTGCTTCTGACCCCATGGTGCTGCCTTGGTCCAGCTCAGGGCCCATCTCCAACCCCTGGTCCAGCTTTGGTGCCCCCTTCCACCTCCTTAGCTTGGCTTGGGGACCATCATGACCCCCTTTGGCCATTCCCATCCCCTCCAGGATCTCCACAAAGACTCTCCCCGTGTACCTGAAGGACTCCATCACCACATGGGAGGTCCTGGCTGTCAGCATCTCCAAGAACAAGGGTACGTGATGGAGGGTTCCTTGTGGAGCAAAGGAACATCCTGGTCCTCAGGGGTGGTCCCTGGGACTTGAAGGGACCCCGAAAGCCGGGTGGGGGTCCCTAGAGCTTGAGGGATGTCCAAGAGCTTAAGAAGGGTGGAGAAGTGCCCCAGAGCTTGGGGACATCCATTAAAGCTTGGGGGCGTTCCCTGGGACTTGAGGGATCTCCTAAGCCTTGGAAGGACTCCATTGGACTTGAAGGATCCCTTAAGCCCTGGGAGGACTCCATGGGCACAGGGAGGACTCAGTAGGACTTGAAGGATCTCTTAAGCCTTGAAAGGACTCAATAGGACTTGAAGGATCTCCTAAGCCTTAGGAGGACTCCATTGGACTTGAAGGATCCCCTAAGTCTTGGGAGGACTCCATGGGCATTGGGAGGACTCCATGGGATTTGAGGAATCGCAATGGGCCCTGGGAGGACTCTATGGGACTTGAGGGATCTCCTAAGCCTTGGAATGGCCCCATTGGACTTGAAGGATCTCCTAAGCCTTGGAATGACTCCATTGGACTTGAAGGATCTCCTAAGCCTTGGAATGACTCTATGGGACTTGAGGGATCTCCTAAGCCTTGGAATGACCCCATTGGACTTGAAGGATCTCCTAAACCTTGGAATGACTCTATGGGACTTGAGGGATCTCCTAAGCCTTGGAATGACCCCATTGGACTTGAAGGATCCCCTAAGTCTTGGGAGGACTCCATGGGCATTGGGAGGCCTCAGTGGGACCTGAAGGCCCTCCTAACCCTTAGCGATGCTCCTGGGGTCCCCACAAGCCTGACCCAATGTTCTCACCCCCTAGGGCTGTGCGTGGCCGACCCCTATGAGATCACGGTGATGAAGGAGTTCTTCATGGACCTGCGCCTGCCCTACTCGGTGGTGAGGAACGAGCAGGTGGAGATCCGCGCCATCCTCTACAACTACTGGACACACAAGATCACGGTAGGAAAAGGAGACCCCAGACATGGGGACCATGGGGCACGGGGGGGGGGGTGTCCATGGTCACCCCAACCCCATTGAGCACCACCTCCTGGGGCCCATAGGTGCGCGTGGAGCTGATGTACAACCCAGCCCTGTGCAGCGCCTCCACCAGCAAGCAGCGCTACCAGCAGGTCCTCAGCCTGGAGCCCCAGTCCTCATGGGCTGTGCCCTTCGTCCTCGTGCCCTTGGAGCTGGGGCTCCATGAGGTCGAGGTGAAGGCGGCCGTGCAGGGACGCTTCGTGGCCGATGGTGTCAAGAAGAAGCTCAAAGTGGTGGTGAGCGGCCTCCACATCACTGAGATGCTCCCAGCACAGGGCCCTGTGTCCACGTGGGGCTGGTACCCAGGGATGAAGGATGCTGCCCACCAAGGATGCTCAAGTGGGGCTTTTCTAGTTCGGAGCATGAGATGAGGGTGCTGGTTTCTACTGGGGCAGCATGGGGAGGTTGGGAAGGATCCAAACCCAACCCAACCTTGAGCATTGGGATCTCCTGGAGATGGGAAAGGGGGACCCAAACCCAACCTTTATCATTGGGATCTTCTGGAGATGGGAAAAGGGGACTCAAACCCAACCTTTAGCATTGGGATCTTCTGGAGATGGGAAAGGGGGACTCAAACCCAACCTTTATCATTGGGCTCTTCTGGAGATGGGAAAAGGGGGACCCAAACCCAACCTTTATCATTGGGCTCTTCTGGAGATGGGAAAGGGGGACCCAAACTCAACCCAACCTTTATCATTGGGATCACCTGGAGATGGGAAAGGGGGACCCGAACCCAACCCAACCTTTAGCATTGGGATCTTCTGGAGATGGGAAAGGGGGACCCCAAACCCAACCTTTATCATTGGGCTCTTCTGGAGATGGGAAAGGGGGACCCCAAATCCAACCTTTAGCATTGGGCTCTTCTGGAGATGGGAAAGGGGGACCCAAACTCAACCCAACCTTTAGCATTGGGATCTTCTGGAGATGGGAAAAGGGGACCCAAACCCAACCTTTATCATTGGGATCTTCTGGAGATGGGAAAGGGGGACCCAAACCCAACCTTTATCATTGGGCTCTTCTGGAGATGGGAAAGGGGGACCCAAACCCAACCTTTATCATTGGGATCTTCCGGAGATGGGAAAAGGGAACTCAAACCCAACCCAACCTTGAGCATTAGGATCTCCTGGAGATGACAAAAAGGGACCCAAACCCAACCCAACCTTGAGCATTGGGATCTCCTGGAGATGGGAAAGGGGGACCCAAACCCAACCCAACCTTTATCACTGGGATCTCCTGGAGATGGGAAAAGGGGACTCAAACCCAACCCAACCTTGAGCATTGGGATCTCCTGGAGATAGGAAAGGGGACCCAAACCCAACCTTTATCATTGGGCTCTTCTGGAGATGGGAAAGGGGGACCCCAAACCCAACCTTTAGCATTGGGCTCTTCTGGAGATGGGAAATGGGGACTCAAACCCAACCTTTAGCATTGGGATCTTCTGGAGATGGGAAAGGGGGACCCAAACCCAACCTTTAGCACTGGACTCTCACCTCTGCAGCCCGAAGGGATGAGGGTGGAGAAGACAGTGAAGATAATCGAGCTGGACCCGAAGAAGAAGGGAGTCGGTGAGTGCCCCATCTGGCCTTGGGGATGTCTCAGCCCCACAGGGATGTTCCACTGAGGGAAAGGTCTGGGGCATCTGTGGGGCAGAAGTCCCATTGTGGGGCTGGGACATCTTGGGGGTGAGGAAGGTCCTACTGTGGGTCTGTGGGGCCGAGGGACATCCTACCTGGAGCTGGGGCATCGCAATGAAGAAGGAACACCCTGGTGTGGCTTTGGAGCATCTTGAGCGCCAAGGGACATCCTGCTGCAGATGTGGGGCAGGGCTGGCTCCACCACATGGTGTGGGGAGGGGACGTGGTTTGGGGTCACCCATCTCCATCCTGCCCCACAGATGGGGTGCAGGAGGAAAGGGTGAAGGCTGCCAACCTCTCTGACATCGTCCCCAACACCGAGTCGGAGACCAAAGTCAGCATCCAAGGTGAGCCCAAGGGAAGGGACACCCATGGGGCCAAGGGCTTGGGACCCTCCTGGCTTCACATCTCCCCTTCTGGTCCAGGCAACCCCGTGTCCATCATGGTGGAGAAAGCCCTGGATGGGGAGAAGCTGAAGCATCTCATCGTGACACCCGCGGGCTGTGGGGAGCAGAACATGATCGGGATGACCCCCACTGTCATTGCCACCCATTACCTGGACAGCACATTGCAATGGGAGAGCCTCGGTGTCGACCGCCGCGCTGATGCCATCAACTTGATCAAGAAGGGTGAGAGCATCCCCCAAAGCGGGGAGCATCTCCAGGGTTCCTCTATTGGGGTGCCAAATGTCCCCATCACCCAGGGTTCCTCTATTGGGGTGCCAAATGTCCCCATCACCCAGGGTTCCTCTATTGGGGTGCCAAATGTCCCCATCACCCAGGGTTCCTCTATTGGGGTGCCAAATGTCCCCATCACCCAGGGTTCCTCTATTGGGGTGCCAAATGTCCCCATCACCCAGGGTTCCTCTATTGGGGTGCCAAATGTCCCCATCACCCAGGGTTCCTCTATTGGGGTGCCAAATGTCCCCATCACCCAGGGTTCCTCTATTGGGGTGCCAAATGTCCCCATCACCCAGGGTTCCTCTATTGGGGTGCCGAATGTCCCCATCACCCACGGTGCTGAAGGAGCTTTGAAGGAGCTCTTGGGTGCAACCACGTTGGGGATCTGTATTGGAAGACCTGCAATGGGCTCCAGGAATGGGTTGGGGTGGCCTCAAGCTTGGCCAGATGCTCCTTGAGGTGCCCAACCACCACCTCCTCCCCAGGTTACACCCAACAGCTCGCGTTCCGGAAGCCTGACAGCTCCTATGCGGCCTTCAAGAACCGTCCATCGAGCACATGGTGAGGTCCTGAGGCCACCATGGGTCCGGGTGACAGCGTTGGACGTGGCACTGAGGTTCTCCTGTGCCCAGGTTGACCGCCTACGTGGCCAAAGTCTTTGCCATGGCCATCAAGCTGGTGGACATCGAGCCCGAGGTGGTTTGTGGTGCCGTGAAGTGGCTCATCCTGAACAGGCAGAAGCCAGATGGGATCTTCCAAGAGGATGCTCCTGTCATCCATAAGGAGATGGTGGTACGGGGGGGATACGAGCCCTGTTGGCTGATGGAATGGGAAGGACAACGTTGGGCAATGGGGATGAGCAGTGGGCGACCAGAGCTTGGTGTGGAGACCACGATGCTGAGGTCTTCCTCCTCCATCTCCAACACAGGGAGGTTACCAGGGCGCCGAGCCCGAGGTGTCGCTCACAGCCTTTGTCCTCATCGCTCTGCAAGAGGCCCGGGACATCTGCAAGGACCACGTCAACGTGAGTGACCCCATATGGGGATGGGGATGGGGACGCAACAAGGGACAAGCACCCCAAAACAAGGGGCTCACCCCTCATGGAAGCCACCTGAGAACCCAAACTTCGCTCTTTTCTCCCCAGAGCTTGGATAACGGCATCTCCAAAGCTGCTGAGTACCTGGCCCGCAGGTACCAGTCGCTGGCCCGGCCCTACACGGTGGCCCTGAGCTCCTACGCCTTGGCCTTGACAGGGAAGCTCAAGAGCGAGAAGGTCCTCATGAAGTTCTCCAAAGGTGATGTCCAAAAGGATGGAGGGGGGATTATGGGTTAGCGGGGGGCTGCGGTCAATGGCTCCATGGCCAAGTGGAGACTGAGGGGTCGGGGACATGGGCACGGTTGTGGTGGCACCGAGATGGAGGGGACGGATGGGATCCAGAGGGACCTGGAGAGGTGGGAACCTCATGGAGATCAATGGGACCAAGGGCAAGGTCCTTGCAATGGGTTGGGATGATCCCAAGGGAGACATGGGCTGGATGGAGCAGCCTGAGAAGGGCTTGGGGGTGTTGGGTGAGGAGATGCTCAACAGGACCCGGCCAACCATAGAGTGGGTGCAGGTCCTCCCTCTGCTCTGCTTGGGGAGACCCCACTTGGGTGCTGCACCCATCCCTGGTGTCCTCAGCATAAGGAGGACATGGAGGGACCTGCATCAGGGATGGGACAAGGGGTGATGGGTTCCAACTGGAACAGGGGAAGTTCGGGTTGGAGATGAAGGAATTCTTCCCTATGAGGGTGGTGGGACACTGGGATGGGTTGGATGGAGAAGGTCTGCATGACCCATCCCTATTGAAGACCAGGTTGGCCAGGGCTTGGAGCATCCTGCCCTAGTGGAAGGTGTTTGGACCTGGATGAGCTTTAAGCTCCCTTCCAGCCCAACCCATCCCCTTGTATGGTGTGGGGAGAACCCATCCCCTTGTATGGAGTGGGGAGAACCCATCCCCTTGTATGGTGTGGGGAGAACCCATCCCCTTGTATGGTGTGGGGAGAACCCATCCCCTTGTATGGTGTGGGGAGAACCCATCCCCTTGTATGGTGTGGGGAGAACCCATCCCCTTGTATGGTGTGGGGAGAACCCATCCCCTTGTATGGTGTGGGGAGAACCCATCCCCTTGTATGGTGTGGGGAGAACCCATCCCCTTGTATGGTGTGGGGAGAACCCATCCCCTTGTATGGTGTGGGGAGAACCCATCCCCTTGTATGGTGTGGGGAGAACCCACCCTTAGGGGGTGCTGAGGGACCGGTGTCACCCCAGAGAGCAACCGGTGGGAGGAGCGCAACGCCTTCACCTACAACATCGAGGGCACCTCCTATGCTCTGCTGGCCCTGCTCAGGATGGAGAAGCCGGAGCTGACGGGGCCGGTGGCCCGGTGGCTGGCCCGGCAGAACTACTTCGGAGGTGGCTACGGATCCACCCAGGTGGGCTACGGACCCCCCCCCGGCACCCATGGGTGCTGCGCTGGCACCCGTTGGCATGGGGATGGGGGCAAGGAGAAAGGGTTTGGGTGGTGAGGGGTCACCGATGGCCATGGGGATGCCAGGGACTTGGGATGTGCCATAGGGGACGCGTTTGGTGCTATGGGATTCTGAAGGCATTGGGGGGTGACTCAGGGCTTGGGGGTCACCTTATGGCCATTGGGATCCCCCATGGCCTTGGGGAACATCCTTGGTGCTATGGGACCCTAAAGGCATTGGGGGATCTCTTAGGGCTTGGGGGTCACCTTATGGCCCTTGGGATCCCCCATGTCCTTGGGGAACACTCCTGCTCCTATGGGACCCTAAAGGCATTGGGGGATCTCTTAGGGCTTGGGGGTCACCTTAAGGTCCTTGGGATCCCCCATGTCCTTGGGGAACACTCCTGCTCCTATGGGACCCTAAAGGTGTTGGGGGATCTCTTAGGGCTTAGGGGTCACCTTAAGGTCCTTGGGATCCCCCATGGCCTTGGGGAACACTCCTGCTCCTATGGGACCCTAAAGGCATTGGGGGATCTCTTAGGGCTTAGGGGTCACCTTAAGGTCCTTGGGATCCCCCATGGCCTTGGGGAACATCCTTGGTCCTATGGGACCCTAAAGGCATTGGGGGTCCGCTTAGGGGGTCACCTCAGGGCTCTTGGGACCCCCTGTATCCTTGAGGAACACCCCTGCTCCTATGGGATCTCAAGCGCTTTAGAAACCCCACAAGCCCTGTCCCTGGGGCCAGCTCCAGCCCCTGTAGACCCTCATGGTCTCATCCAGTCCTGGAGGACCCCTCTGCCCCATAACACCTCCAAGGGCTGGTCCAAGTGCTTGGGGTCACCCTGAGCTCCGGGCCACGACGGGGATGCCCCAGTCAATGTCCCCAAGGCCCGGTGACACCGGTGTCCCCGCAGGCCACCATGCTGGTGTTCCAAGCCTTGGCCCAGTACCAGGTGGCATCACCTCGGGAGCTCGACCTGGACCTGGACGTGTCGGTGCTGCTGCCCCGGCGCGCCAACGCCATCACCTACCGCATCGAGAACCGCAACGCGCTGGTGGCGCGCTCCGCAGAGGTACCATGGGGGCCATGGGGTGGCCATGGGGTGGCCATGGGGTGGCCATGGGGTGGCCATGGGGTGGCCCTGTCCCCTCTGCGTCAATGCATGTCCCCGCGCTATGGCCCTCGGGTGTCCCTCTCACTTCCATGGGGACGTTCCAAGGCTTGGGATGTCCCTGCCATGTGCCTCCATGTCCCCTCTCCATCCCATCATGCAACGCTGTTGTCCTCTCCATGTCCTTCAATGTCCATCCCTCCATCCCATCATGCAACGCTGTTGTCCTCTCCATGTCCTTCAATGTCCATCCCTCCATCCCATCATGCAACGCTGTTGTCCCCTCCATGTCCTTCAATGTCCATCCCTCCATCCCATCATGCAACGCTGTTGTCCTCTCCATGTCCTTCAATGTCCATCCCTCCATCCCATCATGCAACGCTGTTGTCCCCTCCATGTCCTTCAATGTCCATCCCTCCATCCCATCATGCAACGCTGTTGTCCTCTCCATGTCCTTCAATGTCCATCCCTCCATGTTCCTCCCAGTGTCCCTGCCCCATCCCAATGTCCCCTCTCCCCATAGACCAAGTTTAATGAGGACTTCACAGTGAAGGCTCAGGGCACGGGCAAGGGGACCATGACCGTGGTGACCATCTACAACGCCATCATCCCCGAGCAGGACAACAAGTGCGACAGCTTTGACCTGCGGGTGCAAGTGGAGGACGTGAAGATGGGTGAGTCCCCCATAGGTTCCCCCTATGTCCTCCCTCTGTGTGTGTCCCCTTCAATGTCCCCTCATTGTCCCCATGGCAGGCAAGGAACGGGATGGTGTGATCCGCTCCATCAAGATCACTGTCTGCACCAGGTAGGACTGTGTGCAGACATCAGGGATGCTGGAGATAGGGATGGGAATGGGGATGGTGGGGATACCCCCATAGGGGTTCTATGAAGGATGGAGGGTCTGGGGACAACAGGACAAGGCAGGTGGCTTCAGCCCTGTCCCCATAGGTTCCTGGACAACGTGGATGCCACCATGTCCATCATTGACGTCTCCATGCTCACAGGCTTCTTTCCTGATGTCCAGGACCTGAAGAGGGTGAGTGTGGTCCATGGGGACACATGAGGGGCACCCAGGACCTTGCCTCTTTGTGCCATTGTGTCCCACTGTCCCCCCACATGTCCTCGTGCGTCCCATGTGACCGATGTCACTGTGTCCCACTGTGTCCCTCCATCCCTGTACCCTGATGCATGGCCCCATGTGTCCCCTGTGTCCTGCATGGCACCATGGCCCTGTCCCCAGCTCACAGATGGGGTGGACAGGTACATCTCCAAGTTTGAGATCGACCAAGCCCAGTCGGACCGCAGCAACGTTGTCATCTACCTCGACAAGGTGGGGACATGGGGATGGGGACAGGATGGGGCTGAGATGGGGGTGTGATGGGACAGGGATGGGGATGTGATGGCATAGGGATAAGGGTGTGATGGGATAGGGATAAGGGTGTGATGGGACGGGGGTGGAATGTGATGGGACAGGGATGGGGATGTGATGGGATAGGGATAAGGATGTGATGGGACAGGGATGGGGATGTGATGGGATAGGGATAAGGATGTGATGGGATAGGGATACGGATAAGAATGTGATGGGACAGGGGTGGGGATGTAATGGGACAGGGATGGGGACATGATGGGATAGGGATAAGGATGCGATGGGACAGGGGTGGGGATGTAATGGGGCAGGGATAAGGATGTGATGGGATAGGTATAAGGATGTGATGGGACAGGTATGGGGATGTGATGGGACGGGGTGGGGATGTAATGGGGCAGGGATAAGGATGTGATGGGATAGGGATAAGGATGCGATGGGACAGGTATGGGGATGTGATGGGACAGGAATAAGGATGTGATGAGATAGAGATAGGGATGTGGTGGGAAAGGGATGGGGATGTGATGGGACAAGGGTGGGGATGTGATGGGACAGGAATAAGGATGTGATGAGATAGAGATAGGGATGTAATGGGACAGGGGTGGGGATGTGATGGGACAGGTATGGGGATGTGATGGGACAAGAGTGGGGATGTGATGGGATAGGGATAAGGATGTGATGGGACAGAGGTGGGGACATGATGGGACAGGGAAGGGGATGTGATGGGACAGGAATAGGGACATGATGGGACAGGGGTGGGGACAAGAACAAGGACGGACATAGAACGGAGTTGGGGCCATGGGCAGGGATGAGATGGGAACAAGGATGAGGATGAAGCTGGGGACAGGGATAAGGATGTAATGGGATAGGGATAAGGATGTGATGGGACAGAGGTGGGGATGTGATGGGACAAGGGTGGGGATGTGATGGGATAGGGATAAGGATGTAATGGGACAGCAATAAGGATGTGATGGGACAGGGATGGGGATGTGAGGGGACAAGGTTGGGTTGTAATGGGATAGGGATAAGGACGTGATGGGACAGAGGTGGGGACATGATGGGACAGGGACGGGGATGTGATGGGACAGGAATAGGGATATGATGGGACAGGGGTGTGGACAAGGACAAGGATGGACATAGAACGGAGTTGGGGCATGGGCAGGGATGAGATGGGAACAAGGATGAGGATGAAGCTGGGGATGCAGGTGGGGCTGGGGACGTGGATAGAGGCTGGAGATAGGAATGAAGCTGGGGCCAGAGGTGGGGACAGGAAAGGCTCTCAGGGGTGGGGACGAGGCCAGGATGGCCTCAATGGTGGGGACAGGGGTGCTGAGCGCCACCGCTGTGCCCCCAGGTCTCCCACAAGGCCGAGGAGTGCTTCTCCTTCAAGGCCCACCAGCAGTTCAAGGTGGGCCTGATCCAGCCCGCGGCCGTCACCGTCTACAGCTACTACAAGATCGGTGGGTGCCACCCTCGGGTCCTCTCCTGTCCCCTTGTCCCATCACATCCTCTGAGTGTCACTGCTCTGTCCCCATGGCTCCCACCGCGGCCCCTCCTGTCCCCCCATGGCCCCATGCCCCAGCAGATGACCGCTGCACCCGCTTCTACCACCCGGAGAAGGAAGGTGGGAAGCTGAGCAAGATCTGCTACAAGGACGTGTGCCGCTGCGCTGAAGGTGAGGTGGGGACATGGGGACACACGAGGTCACCACCCTGACCATGGGGGGACATGTCATAGCCATGATAAGACATGGCATAGTGGAGGGTGGGACATCATGGTCATGATGGGACGCATCATTGTGGATGGTGGGATGTCATGGTTGTGATGGGACATTTCATTGTGGTTGATGGGATGTCATGGTTGTGATGGGACACGTCATTGTGGATGGTGGGATGTCATGGTTGGGACATGGGACACCATGGTTGTGATGGGACACTTCATTGTGTATGTTGGGATGTCATGGTCATGATGGGACACATCATTGTGGATGATGGGATGTCATGGCTGTGATGGGACACATCATTGTGGATGAGGGGATGTCATGGTTGTGATGGGACACATCATTGTGGATGATGGGATGTCATGGTCATGATGGGACACATCATTGTGGATGGTGGGATGTCATGGCTGTGATGGGACACATCATTGTGGATGGTGGGATGTCATGGTTGTCATGGGACACGTCATTATGGATGATGGGATGTCATGGTTGCAATGGGACACATCATTGTGGATGATGGGATGCCATGGTCATGATGGGACACATCATTGTGGATGGTGGGATGTCATGGTCATGATGGGACGCATCATTGTGGATGGTGGGATGTCATGGTCATGATAGGACGCATCATTGTGGATAGTGGGATGTCATGGTCATGATGGGACACATCATTGTGGATGGTGGGATGTCATGGTCGTGATGGGACACATCATTGTGGATGATGGGATGTCATGGTCATGATGGGACACATCATTGTGGATGGTGGGATGTCATGGTTGTGATGGGACACATCATTGTGGATGATGGGATGTCATGGTCATGATGGGACACATCATTGTGGATGATGGGATGTCATGGTCATGATGGGACACATCATTGTGGATGATGGGATGTCATGGTTGGGACATGGGACACCATGGTTGTGATGGGACACATCACTGTGGATGGTGGGATGTCATGGTTGTGATGGGACGCATCATTGTGGATGGTGGGATGTCATGGTCATGATGGGACACATCATTGTGGATGATGGGATGTCATGGCTGTGATGGGACACATCATTGTGGATGGTGGGATGCCATGGTCATGATGGGACACATCACTGTGGATGGTGGGATGCCATGGCTGTGATGGGACACATCATTGTGGATGATGGGATGTCATGGCTGTGATGGGACACATCATTGTGGATGGTGGGATGTCATGGTTGTCATGGGACACGTCATTATGGATGATGGGATGTCATGGTTGCAATGGGACACATCATTGTGGATGGTGGGATGCCATGGTCACGATGGGACACTGCATTGACAAGCTGGGCTGTGTGACATGGAGCCATGTCCCTGCCATGGTGGGACGTGTCACTGTCACAGCAGCCCTCGTCATGGCCCTGTCCCCATGTCCCTGCAGAGAACTGCTTCAAGCGGAAGGAGGACGATGTCCCCATGACCATCAACCAACGCATTGAGCGCGCCTGCGAGCCGGGAGTTGACTATGGTGGGACATGGGGGCATGGGGATATGGGGGGACATGGGGGACATTGGGACATAGGGGGACATAGGGGACATGGGGGACATGGGGGCATGGGGGGACATGGGGGACATTGGGACATGGTGGGACACGGGAGACATAATGGGGATGGACATGGGGACATGGGGACATGGGGACATGGGGACATGGGGACATGGGGACATGTGGGACATGGGGGACATTGGGACAATGGGACATGGGGACATGGGGACATGAGGGGATGTGGGGACATCTGGGACATGGGGGACATGATGGGACTTGGGGACATAGGGGATATGGGGACATGGGGGACATGGGGGGGCATGGGGGACATAGGGGACATGGGAGACATGGGGGACATGGGGGACATTGGGACATGGGGGGCATGGAGGACATTGGGACATGGGGGGGCATGGGGTACATGGGGGACATGGGGAACATGGGAACATGGAGGCATGGGGACATGGTGGGACTTGGGGACATGGGGGATATGGGGACATGGTGGACATAGGGGACATTGGGACATGGTGGGACAAAGTGGACATGGGGGGACATGGGGACATGGGGGACATGGGGGGGCATGGGGACATGATGGGACTTGGGGACATGAGGGATATGGGGACATGGGGGACATTGGGACATGGTGGGACATAGTGGACATGGGGGGACATGGGGGGACATGGGGGACATGGGAACATGGGGGACATGGGGACATAGGGGATATGGGGACATGGTGGACATGGGGACATGGAGCCATGCGGGACATGGTGAGACATGGAGGACATGGGGTACATGGGTCACAGGGGCACATGAGGGGACATAGATGTGGCTGGGGCCATGAAGGGCCATTGAAGAACACAAGGAGCATGGAGAGACAGGAGGGGACATGAAGGGACAAGGACAGGTGGGGATGTAGAGGGTGGAAAGGTGGGGACATGGGGACTCCCAAGTGCAGTGGGGCCAGCCTGGTGTCATGGGGGTGACAGTGGTGTCCATCCCCAGTGTACAAGGTGAAGCTGGTGGCAATGGAGGAGACGCCGTCCCATGACAACTACATCATGACCGTCCTCTCCGTCATCAAGATGGGTACGAGCACCCCAGGGACATGGGGGGACAAGGCCACCCTGAGGGACATGGGGGAGTCACCTGGGGCTGGGGACATGAGTTGGGTTGGTGTCACCCAATGGTGCTGGGGACACCCATTGGGGAGGGGCACCCGGTTGGGTTGGTGTCACCCAATGGCACTGGGGACACCCAGTTGGGTTGGTGTCACTCAATGGTGCTGGGGACACCCATTGGGAAGGGACACCCAGTTGGGTTGGTGTCACCCAATGGCACTGGGGACACCCAGTTGGGTTGGCATTACCCAATGGCACTGGGGACACCCATTGGGGAGGGACACCCAGTTGGGTTGGTGTCACCCAATGGCACTGGGGACACCCAGATGGGTTGGCATCACCCAGTGGTGCTGGGGACACCCATTGAGAAGGGGCACCCAGTTGGGTTGGTGTCACTCAATGGTGCTGGGGACACCCAGGTGGGTTGGCATCACCCAATGGTGCTGGGGACACCCATTGGGAAGGGACACCCAGTTGCGTTGGTGTCACCCAATAGCACTGGGGACATCCAGATGAGTTGGTGTCACCCAATGGCCCTGGGGACACCCAGTTGTGTTGGTGACATCCAAGGTTGCTGGAGGGATGGTGTCACCCATAGCTGGTGATGCCACCAATGGGGGTTGAGGGTCCCCATTGTGGACCCCACCAACGGGGGTGCCCCTGCTGTGCTTTGGGGGTGGAGCTGACGAGCACCCTGTGTCCTATGGGGCAGGCACTGATGAGGACCCAGGCAGAAGCAACCGGACCTTCGTGAGCCACCGGCAGTGCCGCGATGCTCTGAAGCTCCAGCTGGGTCAGGACTACCTGCTCTGGGGGCTGGCCACCGACATGTGGGTCACCGGCAACCGGTACGGGCGTGGGGAAATGGGGGGGGTCCTGGGGACATGGGAACGTCGTGGGATGGGGGGGACATGGGGAGGTTTGGGGACACGTGGCCATGGTGACACATGGGGGACATGGGGGGCATGGGTAGATATGGAGACACGTGGCCATGGTGACACCAGATATGGGACATGGGGCATATGGGGGATATGGGGGGCATAGGTAGATACAGAGACACATGGCCATGGTGACACCAGATATGGGACATGGGGCATATGGGGGACATGGGGACATAGGTAGATACAGAGACACATGGCCATGGTGACACCAGATATGGGACATGGGGCATATGGGGGACATGGGGACATAGGTAGATACAGAGACACATGGCCATGGTGACACCAGATATGGGACATGGGGCATATGGGGGATATGGGGGGCATGGGTAGATACAGAGACACGTGGCCATGGTGACACCAGATATGGGACATGGGGCATATGGGGGACATGGGGACATAGGTAGATATGGAGACACATGGCCATGGTGACACTAGATATGGGACATGGGGCATATGGGGGACATGGGGGACATGGGTAGATACGGAGACACATGGCCATGGTGACACTAGATATGGGACATGGGGCATATGGGGGATATGGGGACATAGGTAGATACAGAGACACATGGCCATGGTGACACCAGATATGGGACATGGGACATATGGGGGACATGGGGGACATAGGTAGATACAGAGACACATGGCCATGGTGACACTAGATATGGGACATGGGGCATATGGGGGACATGGGGGACATAGGTACATACAGAAACACATGGCCATGGTGACACCAGATATGGGACATGGGGCATATGGGGGACATGGGGGACATAGGTACATACAGAAACACATGGCCATGGTGACACTAGATATGGGACATGGGGCATATGGGGGACATGGGGGGCATAAGTAGATACAGAGACACATGGCCATGGTGACCATAGATAGGGGACATGGGGCATATGGGGGACATGGGGGGCATAAGTAGATACAGAGACACATGGCCATGGTGACACATGGGGGACATGGGGGACATAGGTAGATACAGAGACACATGGCCATGGTGACACCAGATATGGGACATGGGGCATATGGGGGACATGGGGGACATGGGGGACACTGGGGACATGGGACATGGAGGACATGGGACATGAGGGACATGGGTGATATAGGTAGATTTGGAGACACATGGCCATGGTGACAGTAGACATGGGACATGGGACACATGGGGGACATGGGACACATGGGACACAAGGGACATGGGACATGGGACATGGGAGACATGGGGCATGGGGGACACAGGATATGGGTGTCATTGGTAGATCTGGGGACACGTGGCCATGGTGACACTAGACGTGGGACATGGGGGACATGGGGGACATGGGGGACATGGAACACAAGGGACATGGGACATGGAGGACATGGGGGACGTGGGGGACATGGAACACAAGGGACATGGGACATTGGGGACATGGGGCATGGGGGACACAGGATATGTGTGTTATTGGTAGATCTGGGGACACGTGGCCATAGTGACACTAGACATGGGACATGGGGGACATGGAGGACATGGGGGACATGGGGGACAAGGGACATGGGGGACATGGGGGACATGGGACATGGGGGACATGGGTAGCTATGGAGACAGGTGGCCATGGTGACAATAGACATGGGACATGGGGGACATTGGACATGGGGGACATGGGATATGGGTGTCATGGGTAGATTTGGAGACACATGGCCATGGTGACAGTAGACATGGGACATGGGGGACATTAGACATGGGGGACATGGCTGTCATGAGTAGCTATGGAGACACGTGACCATGGCGACAGCGACACCCAATGACCCCCCTCCCCAAACCTGAGATTCTCCAGTGTCTCGTACAGGGTTGTGCACCCCCATTGCCCATCCCTTGTGTGTCCCCCCCCAACCCCACCGAGATGCCACCTCCTTCTGACCATGTCCCCCTTGATGTCCCCTTGTCTCCAGGTTCTCCTACCTCATCGGCAAGGACACGTGGCTGGAGGCGTGGCCCTCGGAGGCCGCGTGCCAGGAGCCCCACCTCCAACCCCTGTGCCAGGACTTCGTGGAGTTTGCTGAAGCCATGACCATGTTTGGGTGCCCCTCGTGAGCACCCATGGGTGCTCCCCCCCCCCCCCCCCAACCCTTGGGTTGGTGTTAAAAAAGGGCCTTTCTGATGGCCTGGCTCTGGGTCTGTGTTGGGTCATGGGGACGCCATAGGGGTGATGGGGACATCATAGGGGTCATGGGGACACCATAGGGGTCATGGGGACACCATAGGGGTCATGGGGACACCATAGGGGTCATGGGGACACCATAGGGGTCATGGGGACACCATAGGGGACAATAGGGTGGTGAGGACTTCAGGGTGGTCATGGGGGCTTGGTAGGGGGCAAGAGGAGGGTGGGGACTCCATAGGGGATGATGGGATCATGGGGACACTGTAGGGGTTGTGGAGATTCCATAGGAGATGATGGGATCATGGGAACACCATAGGGATGATGGGGACACCATAGGGGATGATGGGATCATGGGGACACCATAGGGGTGATGGGGACTCCACAGGGGATGATGGGATAATGGGGACACCAGAGGGGTGATGGGGACTCCACAGGGGATGATGGGATCATGGGGACACCATAGGGGTGATGGGGACACCACAGGGGTGATGGGGACTTCATAGAGGATGATGGGATCATGGGGACACCATAGGGGTGATGGGGACTCCATAGAGGATGATGGGATCATGGGGACACCATAGGGATGATGGGGACACCATAGGGGTGATGGGATCATGGGGACACCATAGGGATGATGGGGACACCATAGGAGATGATGGGATCATGGGGGCACCATAGGCGTTGTGGAGACTCCATAGGCGATGATGGCATCATGGGGACACCATAGGGGTGACGGGGACCCACAGGTCATGGGGACCTCATAGGGAGCAATGGGGCTCCATAGGTGACCACACACTTGGTGCACAGCCCCTGGTGTGCGATGTGGCACAGGCCTGAAGGCTGGTGGGGATTCTCCAGTGGCTCGTATAGGGTTGTGCACAGGGGTGATGGGTGGGGGGGGCCAGGATGGGCCCCCCACCCCCAAGTTGAGGGCTGGAATTGAATGAAAGGGGGGGCACAAAGGGGCAAATCTGGGGGTGTTAGGGGCAAATTGGGGTGCCCTGGGGCAGTTTGAGGGGGGTCAGGTCTATATTGGGGGGTCTGGGGTAGATTTGGGGGGGGGTGGGGCAAACCTATGGGTCTAGGGGGGGTCAAAATGGGGGTGCAGGGGTTATTTCAGGGTGAGGGGGGTGTCAGGGCCAACCCAGCCCCTCCCCATTTCCCAGCGCCCTTTGCGCTCAGGAGCAGAGATTCTCTGCTGGCTGCTATGAGGTTGTGCACCCCCCCCCCCCAAACTTCCGGTTGGGGGGGGTGAATGCAGGGTTGGGGGAGGGGAAGGACCCGTATGTGACCCCCCCATCCCCTCCCCCTTGTTCTTGTTTCCTGCTGCTGAGGCCGGATGAGGCCAGGGGGGGGGGGGGGGGAGGAAATGCATGGGACCAAAGGGGGGGGTTGGGGTTGCATATACATGTATATGTGCATTGGAAGCATAAATAACTTTATTAATCAATAAATAATCGTTGTTAATCAATAAATTAAGGTCTTAATTTAAGGTTGGGGGGAGGGACCCCCCCTCCAGGCCTGCTGGGGGGGGAGGGGTTGGGAACCTGCAGGGATCCCACTTCTCTGGTCCCCAATGGTCCCACCATGGGGGGCTCAGAGGTCTCCATTGGGGGTCCCCCCAAATGGCCACCATGGGGGTGTCCAAGGTCCATTGGTGTCCTCAACCACTGGGGTCACCAGCACCATGGGTCAAGGCACGGGGGTCAGCAATGGGTCTTGGTGTCCCCAGGTCTCTGGTCATGGGGGTCAGCAACGTCCATTGGTGTCCATTGGTGTCCATTGATGTCCATTGATGTCCATTGATGTTCATTGATGTCCATTGATGTCCACCAGTCTCTGGTCATGGGGGTTAGCAATGCCCATTGATGGATGTCCATTGAGGTCAGCAGTGTCCATTAATGCCACTTAATGTCCCTTGATGTCCCCAGGTCTCTGGTCACAGGGTTTAGCAATGTCCATTGATGTCCGCTGGTGTCCATTGAGGTCATGGATGTCCACTGAGGACCATTGAGGTCAGCAATGTCCATTCATGGATGTCCATTGAGATCAGCGATGTCCATTGATGGATGTCCATTGAGGTCAGCAATGTCCATTGATGTCCCCAGGTCTCTGGTCATGGGGGTTGCCAATGTCCATGGATGTCCATTAACGTCCATGGATGTCCATTGGTGTCCATGCCTGTGCACTGGTGTCCATGGCTGTCCATTGATGTCCATTGGTGTCCATGGCTGTCCATTGGTGTCCATGGCTGTCCATTGGTGTCCATGGCTGTCCACTGGTGTCCATTGGTGTCCATGGCTGTCCACTGGTGTCCATGGCTGTCCACTGGTGTCCATGGCTGTCCACTGGTGTCCATTGGTGTCCATGGCTGTCCATCGGTGTCCATGGCTGCCCATTGATGTCCATTGATGTCCATGGCTGTCCATGGCTGTCCATTGGTGTCCACTGATGTCCATTGGTGTCCATTGGTGTCCATTGGTGGCCATGCATGTCCACTGGTGTTCATGGGTGTCCATGGCTGTCCATTGATGTCCACTGGTGGCCATGCCTGTCCACTGGTGTCCATGGCTGTCCATGGCTGTCCATTGATGTCCATTGGTGTCCATTGATGTCCATTGGTGTCCACTGGTGGCCACGCATGTCCACTGGTGTTCATGGGTGTCCATGGCTGTCCATTGATGTCCACTGGTGGCCATGCCTGTCCACTGGTGTTCATGGCTGCCCATTGATGTCCATTGATGTCCATTGGTGTCCATTGTTCTCCCCATCTCCAGCCTCACCCTCAACCCATGTCCCCCTCCACCCCCCCCCTTCCTGCACCCCCAGCCCCTCCGCTGCCCCCATCCCCCGCGATGCGCAGCAGCCCCACAAAGTTCCCCTCCCTCTCCTCCTGTGCCAGCTGCCACCCGGCCCCATCCCACCCCACGGCCCCGACCAGCGCCAGGCTCAGCCGCTCCCCGGCGCGGAGCCGCCGCACGGCCTGGACCAGAGCCGAGCGCACGGGGCCGTGGCCATCGCTCAGCGCCAGGGGCACGGCCAGCAGCGGCCTCGGGGCCCCCGAGCGGCGGAGCTGCAGGGTGACGGTGCCCGATGGACAGGAGGGGGCAGTGCAGGTGAGGGCGAGCTGCCCATAGAGCAGGTAGAGCCCGGCCGTCGCCACCCGCAGGACCCCGGCCGTGGCCTGGACGTCGCCGCTGAGGAAGACGCCGCCGATGCCGTGCTCGTAGCGCCAGAGAGGGGAGGATGGAGGCGATAGGGAGCCTGTGGGGGGACAGGGAGAGGGGTGGTGAGGGGGGGAGAGGGGTTCTGAAGGTCTCATCGGTGGGACAAAGGGAGCACAGGGATGGAGGATGCTCCATGACACCGTAGGGACCACAAGGATGGAGGATGCTCTGTGATAACCTGGGTACCACAGGGATGCAGGATGCTCCATGACACCCTGGGTACCACAGGGATGCAGGATGCTCCATGACACCCTGGGTACCACAGGGATGCAGGATGCTCTGTAATACCCTGGGTACCACAGGGATGGAGGATGGTCCAGGACACCCTGAGGACCACAGGGATGGAGGATGCTCTGTAATACCCTGGGTACCACAGGGATGGAGGATGGTCCAGGACACCCTGAGGACCACAAGGATGGAGGATGCTCCATGACACCCTGGGTACCACAGGGATGGAGGATGCTCCATGACACCCTGAGGACCACAGGGATGGAGGATGCTCTGTAACACCCTGGGTACCACAGGGATGGAGGATGCTCCATGACACCCTGAGGACCACACGGATGGAGGATGCTCCATGACACCCTGAGGACCACAGGGATGGAGGATGCTCCATGACACCCTGAGGACCACAGGGATGGAGGATGCTCCATGACACCCGGGGTACCAACAGGACAGAGAATACTCCATGACACCCTAGGGACCACAGGGATGGAGGATGCTCCATGACAGTGGAGGATGCTCCATGACACCCTGGGTACCACAGGGATGGAGGATGCTCCATGACACCATGGGTACCACAGGGATGGAGGATGCTCCATGACACCCTGGGTACCACAGGGATGGAGGATGCTCCATGACACCCTAGGGACCACAGGGATGGAGGATGCTCCATGACAGTGGAGGATGCTCCATGACACCCTGGGTACCACAGGGATGGAGAATGCTCCATGACACCCTAGGGACCACAAGGATGGAGGATGCTCCATGACACCCGGGTACCACAGGGACAGAGGATGCTCCATGACACCCCGGGGACCCTGTGACACCACGGCTGCCCTGTGACACATCCGGATGCTGCAGGCCTTGGGGTGCTGTTTCCATTGTGAGGGCGGAAGGAGGAACCCACAGGAGGGTTCTCGAGATGACTGAGCCAGCCGCCTAAGGAAGGGCCTGTCCCCACCTCCCTTGTCCCCACAGCGAGCCCCTCATGGTGGCCTCAGGCCTTTGGACTTACCAGCACTCAGCAGCATGTGGGCAGCTGTGGCAGCCTGAGGAGAGAAAGGGAACGAGTGTCAGGAAGCACCCAAAGCATCCCTGTCCCCAGTGTGTCCCTAAGGGAAGGGGAAGTTGGTGTCGCATCGGGATGTGGGGACTTCCCAGCATCCCTCTGGGTATCTGGGGGGGGGTCCCCAAGCAATGGGGTGAGCCCTGGATAGGGGGGGATTTGGTGTGTTTGGGGGTGGGAAATTGAGGCATGGGGAAGGATTGGGGGGTCTCCAAGAGCCAGGCAGGGGGTGGATACCCCATTGGTGAGCAGGGAGGGAGGGAAGGATGAAGGGAGGGATGGATGATGGATGGATGGATGGACACCACCAGGATGTGCAACCCGGATGGACATTGGAGGAACAGAGGATTGAGGGCAAGGATGGAGGGAGGAAGGGAGGGATGGATGGATGGATGGATGATGGATGGATGAAGGATGGATGATGGATGGATGGGGGGATGGATGGATGGATGAGGGATAGGTGGATGAATGGATGATGGATGAAGGGCTGGATGGATGATGGATGGATGGATGGATGGGTGAGGGATGGGTGGATGGATGGATGAAGGGGTGGATGGATGGACATCACTGGGATGTGCAACCTGGATGGACACTGGAGGAACAGACATCCAGGACGGGAAGGATGGAGGGAGGAAGGGAGGGATGGATGGAGGGATGGATGGATGGATGGATGATGGATGGATGGATGATGGATAGATGGGTGGATGGATGGGTGGATGATGAATGAAGGGATGGATAGATGAAGGGATGGATGAAGGGATGGATGATGGATGGATGGATGGGTGAGGGATAGGTGGATGGATGGATGATGGATGAAGGGGTGGATGATGGATGAAGGGATGGATGAAGGGATGGATGAAGGGGTGGATGATGGATGGATGGACATCAATAGGATGTGCAACCTGGATGGACATTGGAGGAACAGACATCCAGGACGGGAAGGATGGAGGGAGGAAGGGAGGGATAGATGGACGGGTGGACGGATGGATGGATGGAGGGATGGATGGGTGACTGATGATGGATGGATGATGGATGGATGGATGGATGATGCATGGATGAATGGACACCACCAGGATGTGCAACCTGGATGGACATTGGAGTAACAGAGACACCCATAAGGATGTGAAGGGGGAGCCCGGAGGGACAGACAAGGGGATGGACACCGAGAGGGACGGACAGACCCCCCCGATGGACCCCATAACAGAGACCCTTGGACACCCACAGACACCAGGACAGACACTGGGACAGACTGGGAGGGGAGGGGGGGGGCACGGACACGGACCTGCGGCGGGGTCCCCCTCTGGAGCATCCCGCAATGGAGCATCCCCAGGAGCGCGGCGGCCGCTGCGGCGGCTCCGAGAGCGGCGGCTCCGAGCGCGGTGAGAACCGGGAAGAGGCGGCGGCGGCGGCGGCGGCGGCGGCGGCTCCGGTCCCGGCTCCGCTCCAGGTCCAGGTCCCGGTCCCGGCTCCGGTCCCAATCGCGATCGTGGCCGGGAGGCAGCGGCAGGGACTCGGGGTCGGAGATCGGCGGCATCGCAGCGGGGACCGAGCGGCGGAGCCGCCTCTTAAAGGGACCGGAGGCGGGGACCGGAGGTGGGGACCGGAGGCAGGGACCGGAGGCGGGGACCGGCCGGGAAGGAACCAACGGCCCCGGGGGCGGGGGGAGCCCGGCCCGGACACGGGATGGGATGGGGGGATCCAATCCGAATGACGTCACCTCCCCCCCGGGGATTTCGCCTCTTCCGGTCGCTTCCTGCTCGGGCGGGGGGAGGAACATCGGGAATGGGAAGGGGATGGGGACGGGAAGGGAGGGGGAGGGAACCCATTGAGAACACCCCCCCCCCCATGGGAAATACCCCCCCATATGGGAAATCCCTCCATTGAGAACACCCCCCCCCCGCCATAGAGAATACCCCCCTATGGGAGACCCCCCCCCTTTCGAAACCCCCCCCCCGTGGAAAACGCCCCCTTATGAGAGACCCCTCCATTGAGAACAGACCCCCCTATGGGAAACACCCCCCTATGGGAAACCCCTCCATTAAGAACAACCCCCCCCCTATGGGAAACACCCCCCTATGGACCCTCCCATTGAGAACACCCCCCCCCCCATAGGAAACACTCCCCTATGGGAGCCCCCCATTGAGAACACCCCTGCCCCCCATGGAAACACCCCCCTAAGGGAAGACCCCCCCCCCATTGAGAACACCCCACAACCCCATGGAAAACACTCCCCTATGGGAGACCCCCCCATTGAAACCCGCATCCCTCATGGGAGACCCCCCCCCATAGAAGACCCCCCCCATGGGACCCCCCTCAAGTGACACCCTCCCCCCAAATAAGCCCCCTATGGAAACCCCTCGAAATGGGACCCCCATCGATGCCCCCCTCCCCGGACCCCCCCCAACTCCTATGGGGTCCTTATGGGGTTCCCCCTATAAGTGAGCCCCCCCCCCCATAACCCCCCCATTGGGGAGTTCCCTGTCAGACCCCCCCTTCAATGACCCCGCCCCCCTTTAGCCCCGCCCCCTTTCTGTATCCCAACCCCCTTTCCGTGCGCCCCGAAGGTCACAGGAGGCCACGCCCCCTCCCTCTATTGAACCAATCAGCGCTCGCGCGGGCGGGTGACGCCGGCGCGCCCGCCAACAGGAGCAGGGGGAGGTGCCGGAAGACCGCGTCATGTGACTCCGTGGGCCAGGTGCTGGGCAAGGCGGGAGGGGAAGGAACGGGGGGGAGGGACGCGGGAACAGCCAGGACCGGAGAGAGGGGGGCGTGGTCATGGGCGGGGCTTAAAGTGCGTGGGCGGGGCTACGGAGTGGGCGGGGCCTCCGAGCTTCCGGGCAGCGCAGGTTGGTGCGCGGGGGGGAGAGCGTGGGAACCCTTGGGGGGGGCCGAGGGGTACCCATGGGGGGGGGGGCTGGAATGGAGGGGGGGCAAGGGACACCCGTTGGGGGGGATTATGGGAACGGGGGGTCCCAAAGTGGGGGGAGCCATGGGATGGGGTGTCCCCATGGGGGGTAATGGGAACCGGGGCGGGTTCCGAAGGGGGGGGGGCATGGGATGGGGTGTCCCCATGGGGGGGTTATGGGAACGGGGGGTCCCAAAGTGGGGGGAGCCATGGGATGGGGTGTCCCCATGGGGGGTAATGGGAACCGGGGGAGGGTCCCAAAGGGGGGGGCATTGGATGGGGTGTCCCAGGGGGGGGTAAATCAGAACCGGGGGGGCCCCGGAGGGGGGGCATGGGATGGGGTGTCCCCATGGGGGGGGGTAATGGGAACCGGGGGGATCCCGAAGGGGGGGGGGCATGGGATGGGGTGTCCCCATGGGGGGGGTAATGGGAACGGGGGGGTCCCGAAGGGGGGGACAGAGTGGGGAGGGTCATGGGAAAAGGGGGGGTCTTAAGGGGGACACACCAAGGGGCACCCATGGGGTCCCATAAAGCTGGGGGGGGCGGGGAGAAAGGGGTCAGGGTGGGTCCAGGGGTGATGGGAAGCCCCGGGGGGGGGGGGGTCAGAGGAAGTGGGTGCTGTAGGGGTGACAATGGGTGGCCATGGGGTGGGACAGGATGGGGTGGGCATTGGGGGGGGACACCCTAAGGACAAGGGGGACACCAAAGATAGGGGGGGACACTTGGGGTGCCCCCCAGGATGAGGGTGCCCATGGGGAGCAGGTGAAGCCAAAGCAAGACTGAGCTCATCTCCTTTGTCACAGGGACCCGTTGCCACCTCCCCATCACCCAGCAGGTACCTGGGTGGGAGGGGATGATGCCCCCACCCCCAAACCGGCCCTAAATTGGGGTGATTTTACCCAATTTGAGCCTTTTTTGGCCCAGTTTTGCTTCCAGAAGGGGGGAATTGGGGATAACCTCTGGTCCGGCTCCGGGTGTGGGAGGGGACCAAAGGCCTGGGGGTGAGGGGGGAGTCAGGCTGGGGTTGGCAGCAGCAGCCTCTGCCCCGGGCTCAGTGCAGAGCCTTCGTTAGGGGTAATCATGCAAAGGAGCTGGGATGGGGCTGGGGAGTGCTGCAGGGTCCGGTTGAACCGGGCCCAGTGACTGGGAGCCAGTTAAACTGGGTTCAGTGACTGGGATCCAGTTAAACTGGGTTCAGTGACTGGGAGCCAGTTAAACTGGGTTCAGTTGACCGAGTCCAGTTAAACTGGGTTCAGTGTACTGGATCCAGCTAAACTGGGTTCAGTTGACCGAGTCCAGTTAAACGGGGTTCAGTGACTGGGATCCAGCTAAACTGGGTTCAGTTGACCGAGTCCAGTTAAACTGGGTTCAGTTGACCGAGTCCAGTTAAACGGGGTTCAGTGACTGGGATCCAGCTAAACTGGGTTCAGTTGACCGAGTCCGGTAAACTGGGTTCAGTGAACTGGATCCAGTTAATCTGGGTTCAGTTCATCAGGTCCGGTTAAAGTGGGTTCAGTGAACTGGATCCAGTTAAACTGGGTTCAGTGAATTGGGTTCAGTTAAACTGGGTTCAGTTCATCAGGTCCAGTTAAACTGGGTTCAGTTGACCAGGTTTGATTAAATTGGATTCAATGAATTGGGTTCAGTTAAACTGGGTTCCACTGACCTGGTTTCTTTAAACTGGGTTGAATGAATCGGGTCCAGTTAAACTGGGTTCAGTGAATTGGGTTCAGTTAAACTGGGTTCAGTGAATTGGGTCCAGTTAAACTGGATTCAGTGAATCAGGTCCAGTTAAACTGGGTTCAGTGAATTGGCTCCAGTTAAACTGGGTTCAGTGAATTGGATCCAGTTAAACTGGGTTCAATGAATCAGGTTCAGTTAAACTGGGTTCAGTGAATTGGGTTCGGTTAAACTGGATTCAGTTCATCAGGTTTGATTAAACTGGGTTCAGTGAATTGGGTCCAGTTAAACTGGGTTCAGTGAATTGGGTCCAGTTAAACTGGGTTCAGTGAATTGTGTCCAGTTAAACTGGGTTCAGTGAATTGGGTCCAGTTAAACTGGGTTCAGTGAATTGGGTCCAGTTAAACTGGGTTCAGTGAATTGGGTTCAGTTAAACTGGGTTCAGTGAATTGGGTTCAGTTAAACTGGGTTCAATGAATTGGGTCCAGTTAAACTGGGTTCAGTTTGTCAGGTCTGGTTAAACTGGGTTCAGTGAATTGGGTCCAGTTAAACTGGGTTCAGTGAATTGGGTCCAGTTACACTGGGTTCAGTGAATTGGGTTCAGTTAAACTGGGTTCAGTGAATTGGATCCAGTTAAACTGGGTTCAGTGAATTGGGCCCAGTTAAACTGGGTTCAGTGAATTGGGCCCAGTTAAACTGGGTTCAGTGAATTGGGTCCAGTTACACCGGCTTCAGTGAATTGGGTTCAGTTAAACTGGGTTCAATGAATTGGGTCCAGTTAAACTGGGTTCAGTTTGTCAGGTCTGGTTAAACTGGGTTCAGTTAAACTGGGTTCAGTGAATTGGGTCCAGTTAATCTGGGTTCAGTGAATTGGATCCGGTTAAACTGGGTTCAGTGAATTGGGTTCAGTTAAACTGGGTTCCATTGACCTGGTTTCATTAACCTGGGTTGAATGAATCGGGTCTGATTAAACTGGGTTCTGTGAATTGGATCCGGTTAAACTGGGTTCAGTGTATTGGATCCAGTTAAACTGGGTTCAGTGAATTGGGTCCAGTTAAACTGGGTTCATCCCAGGTTGGAATATCTGGGATGGGGACAGGTATTGGGATGGGGATAGGGATGAGGATAAGGATGGGGACATGGATGGGGATAAGGATGGGGACATGGATGGGGATGAGGATGGGGATGGGACATGGATGGGGATGAGAATAAGGATGGGAACAGGGATGGGGATGAGGATAAGGATGGGGACATGGATGGGGATGAGGATGGGGATGGGACATGGATGGGGATGAGAATAAGGATGGGAACAGGGATGGGGATGAGGATAAGGATGGGGACATGGATGGGGATGAGGATAAGGATGGGACATGGATGGGGATGAGGATAAGGATGGGACATGGATGGGGATGAGGATAGGGATGAGGATAAGGATGGGGCATGGATGGGGATGAGGATAAGGATGGGACATGGATGGGGATGAGGATGGGGACAGGGATGGGGATGAGGATAAGGATGGGAACAGGGATGAGGATAAGGATGGGAACAGGGATGGGGATGAGGATAAGGATGGGGACATGGATGGGGATAAGGATGGGAACAGGGATGGGGATGAGGATAAGGATGGGAACAGGGATGGGGATGAGGATAAGGATGGGGACATGGATGGGGATGAGGATAAGGATGGGACATGGATGGGGATGAGGATGGGCACAGGATGGGATGGGGATAGGATGGGCACAGGGATGGGGATGGGCACAGGGATGGGGATGAGGATAAGGATGGGGACAGGGATGGGGATGAGGATAAGGATGGGACATGGATGGGGATGAGGATGGGGACAGGGATGGGGATGAGGATAAGGATGGGACAGGGATGGGGATAGGATGGGAACAGGGATGGGGATAAGGATGGGGACAGGGATGAGGATGGGACAAGGATGGGGACAAGGATGGGGATGGGGACAAGAATAGGGACAAGGATGGACGGGGACAAGGATGGGGACAGGGATGGGGATGGGGATGAGGATGGGGACAAGAACGGATGGGTACAAGGATGGGGACAAGGATAGGGACAAGGATGGATGGGGACAAGGATGGGGATGAGGATAAGGATGGGACATGGATGGGGATGAGGATGGGGACAGGGATGGGGATGAGGATAAGGATGGGAACAGGGATGAGGATAAGGAT